TTGTTTTTGGGGTTTTTGTTGTTCTCCTGCCCTGGCGGGGGGTCGGGCTAGAAGATCTACTAGGTCCCTTCCGACCCTTAATCTATGAAACTATGCCGCGTACTGCAGTTCAGTATAAAACAATGCATTAATTAGAACCATTAACTATTTGAGACCAAGCCAAGATATGGCTAACTTTTAATTAAAAAAAAATTTTGCTTGAACTGACAATAAGTCTTTACATATACTGAGGCCTTGATAAAGAATGCAAATGAAGATGCCCAATGCTAACAGGATACAGACCTTTGTTTTCTCTGGGCTGCTCAGGTGGTAGGTTTACTTCACTGCAAATCTATCCTGCAACTGAGCAGGCAAAAAGTCCAAAACACACTTTCATTTTCCAAATACACTTTAAATGTTTATAATGTCAAGAATAAAAACTCTGCTGACTAGGATTTTCCCCTATTACTTCAATGAACAGTTTAAATAATATTAACTAAGTTTCACATAAAATAGTATTAAACTATAAGCAGTTTAGTAGCTTGTACCTGCTAAACATGGACTCCACAAACATTCACATATGAGACTCCAGGAATAATTTTCTAGGGACAAGTGAAGAATTGTGTGCCAAATAACTTCTCCATGTAAAATAGAAACATGCTAAAAACAAGTTTGTGTGTCAATGTGTGGGCAGTTTCTCTGAGTCTGCAATCCAATCTACTCCATTATAAAAGCATCATTTTTAAAAGTGTTTTGTCACATTCATGTTCTGATAGATAATCTCTGTAAACTAAAAGGAATTAATCTATTATGCTGTGTTAAGCAGCAGCAAAGTTAAAAAAAAAATCAAAACAAAATTTGAATTCAGGTAGCTTTGTTACTAATTTTAGTGGAGAATGTTTTCCTAGTAAAAATACATTCTAGACTCTCTCTTACCACACAAAAAATAAAAATCTAGAACAAAAATAGATTTAGTATACACAACATGTGCAAGTTATAAGGCCTTTAAACAAACTCTAATACAGCAATGGAAACAAAAACATTATTTCTTATACTGGTAAGAAACTATGTAACTGTCACCAATGGGTTATGTCTAACATACTATATAATCAGTACTTACCATCAGAGGAAGAATTTCATTTAAGTTTCCCAAAAGGTTAATATTTTTTAGGGCTACATAAAAACTGGAGCTGGTGCACAGGGCTGGTTGGGGGCAAGGTGGTCCAGGGCAGGCACTGCATGAAGTGCTCATGCTGGACATGCCCTGTGTGCTGACTCTGGTGCTTGGGGCCTATCTGTGGGTCTTATCCAGCCCACAGACTGGTCCAGTGCCCCTCACTCAACCCTTGGAGCCAAACAAGTTTGATCCCTGCTATACCCCAATAGATTCTATACGCAGATTAAATAACTGGTGAGATTTTTTTTGTTAAAGTCGTTATACACATTATAGAAAACACAAATTATTTTAAAATGTGACTAATTCTTTTAGGATCTCAGTTCACTATAGACTAACAAATCAATTCTCAAATTAAAAATATATTCTCATGGAACTGTCTCTTCTTCATTCCACAGCTGTTCAAATGGATACCAAAAAAGGACTAAAGGGAGAAGTTTTCTCTAGGCAATCATTTGTGTTTGAATAGCTGAAAAGAAGGACCAACAAAACAAAACAGAGTTCAGTTTTATCTACAGACAACAGGGTAGCTGGCAAACTATCAATAAACCACTGAGAAAAAGAACAAAATATTTCATCTTCCATTATCTCATTTTATCCTCCTCCTCTTCTCAAAATAACTACCATATTTACTTGATTCCAAGATGATGTTTTTCCTCCCATTTAACATGGGAGGGAGGGAGGGAGCGAAGCTCCTCATCTTGGAATAGTCTAAGGTGGGGGCCAGGCAGCTGCTACAGCTCCAACAACCACAGGTGTGTACCCCCCCAGTCTCCTCCTCTGCTGCAGCTTTTGATCCCCCTGCAGCATTGCCCCCCATCCCTCTACTGCAAAACCTCTGCCTTCCACCACCCCATATCCCCATCACTCCAGCTCCAGCCCTGCACCCAGGGGGGCAGCATTTGCTCTGGCCCCAGTCAAACCCTGCAGCAGTGGTCTACAGGGCCAGTCTGGGGCTGAAATAAACACAGGCTCCATGTCCTGGGTTGCAGTGGGGATAGAGTTGGAGTGATAAGAGCGTGCGTGCGTGTAGCAGGGGAGAAGATGCAAGGCTGCAGGGGAGCAGGTAGTGGGAAGGCCAAGTGGTGGAGGTGGCCAGGCAGCAGAAGGCAAGATGTGGGCGGACAAGAGGCAGGGGTCAAGCCCCCTTGCTAGCTCTACCCACCTCCTGCCCATTCACTGCCTACCCTCCTATCGCCCTTCCTACTGCCCTGCCACTGCTC